AAGACTACTGTTTGAAGAAACGTCTCTTTTGTTTTAGATTAGATATTGTTAAGCTTCTTTTTTCTCTATACGTATATAGTAGCATCTTTCTTCCATTATCTTAATCTTCAAAAATTCTGTAGATCAAACGTACCACTGACCAATTTTGCAGTAAATACTGTAGGGCATTCTGATCTCATAATGAGAACAGCACTGTATAGCCTCTTTCATGTAAGATGATTTTTGATGAGGTTCAACTGGCAATTTTTTGCCAGTAGAGCAGTAAATTCAGCTAAATCCAAATGTAAATGTGACCGCTGATATCAGTTAACCAGCTCCATCATGTTGCTGGTAGTCTTCCAAATCGCCAAACCTATTCTTCTGAGGTGTTACGATTCAATTTTTTCAGCATATGTTTAAAATCCTTAAGGAAATACTTCTCTGGAGTTTGCAAGTATTATCTGTTATTCAGTGTCATCACCTATTGGGAGTGCAGTTTTTAGTAACTCGGGATAGTTGTAAGCATTATGACATTAATCTTAACTAATATATATGTTATTTATATTAATGTTATCTCACTGGTAATGGGTTGGGTTTGGGGGTTTTTTTGTTTGTTTTTTTAGGGGGGAAGGAAATGCAAGTGGACTTATTCAAAGATCTCAACACTGAGGTGCTAGTGATCCCAAGTATGGGAATCTCCACTTTCGTAAGACCTTAGAATTCTCATAACAGAATCTGGGAGACAGATTAGCTTAGGTACAGCATAATAGCAACCTTACATGGCAGATGGGGATAAGAGGCTTTTAGCACCATTTTTAAGCATCACTTTGAGAAGCATACATTAATTCTTTAGTGCTCATGTCCTGTAGGTTTTTTCCTTGCATTGCTGCTAATGAGAGATTGCTCTTTCCAACCTGACAAAGTACAACAGTTAAAAACACAACCCAAACAACAGATCTAGCCATGTTCAAAGTGGTGACATTGCACACTTAAAATCTGGTCCAAAAGAGAAAACTACACAGTACAATATTTTTCTGTTGGCACCTAATAAAAATGTAAGCAGAGAGAGTGGGAGTGGAGGACAACATATGCAAAGTCTGAGCATGAACTAGTTGAAGTTGAAAAGTAAGTGCTGCTTGCATACTCCGGGGTAATACCGGTCCTTTCTTGCTAGGCAGCCCGAAGCAATCTATGTGGGCAGAACCGTATCTCTAACTCGTTCAGCTGGGTGTAAAAGAGCGTATTCTGTGGGTGTGAGACCATGTCTGAGTAGTGTGTGTGCTCCACTGCCTTACAGAGTTGCTGGTGGAGGTTTGCTACCCTGCGCTCATCTGAGCGCACTACTACTTTGAATGCATTTAGACTGTTTAGGAGCTCCTTAAGAGATGAGGTTTATACGCTTGCTGTGTCTGATAGTCAGCAGTGAACACAGGCAGCTGGACAGAGAAGAGACCCTTTTTAGGAATAAGCTATGTTCATACTGTAATAGATGGCAAAAGAATTTAATGGAAGAACAATGTTCCGAATATTCCAACCTCAGGAAAAATTAAGTGGGTACTTAAGTCTGACCTTCCTGTACACCAAAGTCAATCAACTATGGGAGACACATTCATAAGAAACTAGGCTTTATTATTTCCCTTGCTCCCTAGAACTGCTCATTAATTGTTGTCTGGCATGTATTTTGCTGGACACCTGTTTCAGCTTTGTGGAGGTTTCTTTTTAGCAAGTATGTGCATTCCACTGTGACTCTTTTCAATCTTTGTGGACAGTACCTCTGTCCTCCTTTGTTCTTTGTGTCTCTATATTTTTGTGGATTCAGTCCAAAAATCTTAAGGCTAATCATGAGCAGAACTTCAGCGTTGCCCGTGTATATTCCTTTCACGTGTAGAAAACCCTCTTTGCATGGGTTTAGTCAACTCAGTAGCAATCGTAAAGAATTCTGTGGGGTGATTCATTGCTCCAAGGACTGTTTGCTACAGTATTATCAAAAAAAAAAAAAAACCCTGGTTCTGGGTAAGTCAGTCATTACGTTACGTCGCTTGCCATTATATTGTATTCTGTTAGTTTAAGATACCTAATTTTGTTGCTTTCTCTAAAAAAAATTTGTTTTTACTGACAATTTTTTATTCGTACATTTTGTTGTTTTAAATTGAGATTTCTGTTTCAGAAAAATATATATTTTTATTATAACTGTACTGAATAAGAAAGTCCTGAAGGTGTAGCTGTTTGTTGTTATCATTTCAGAAATTAAAATCAACATTAATCTCTTGAGTGGCCCACAGCAAATTAAGCAATTTGTTACAACAATCACTATTTACAAAAGGAAAATAATTTCATGTTGTTTTATGTCATGTTCTTATGAACGCAAGGTATTAGAGGGGAGTGGGAATTACTAAAATGTATATGGTGGCATGCATGACTTCACTCTGGTACATCACTATCCTTAAGTGATGTATCCTTAACACTGTTATGTTATTTGGCATCTACACTGAGATCATAGATATAAAATGTCTAGAAAGAACAGGAGTCTAGCTAGTGATTTGTAAGGTCTCTTGTAAAGAAAGCCTGATCAGTGTCTCTTCAATGCCACACTTCTCTTAATATTGCTTTAAGATAGGAAAAGCCATTGTCTGTCTGTGTCTGTCTGTCTGTCTCTCTCTCTCTCTCTCTATATATATATATATACACACATATGTGTATGAGTTTTTTTCCTGGTGGAAATTGTTATGCTAAGAATCAGGGGGAAAAAAACAAACAGTATTGTGAAATGGGAAAAACGTTCAGCACAGGGAGACGAGGGTGTATGGGATAGCTTTGTATGAAGCGCAGTCAACACGCTAGGACTCTTCTGCCTGGAAGGAGATGAGTCAAGGAGGGTATGATACAAGTCAGTAAGCTACAAATGAGTTTGAGAAGGTGAATATGGAATAATTGCTCACTGTCTTTTCCAGTGCAGAAGCTGAAGGGTGTCAAACAAAACAAGGAGGTGTTGGGCTTAAAACACCAAAGGAAGTGATTTTTCACACAATATATATTTAAGCTGTAAAACTCCTTACCACAGAATGTTATAATCTATGGAAGAAAAATCACTTAAGGACTGTTAAATACAAAGACCAAATCTCTTATTTCAGAAAGCTCCTGGAACCACAGTTTGCTGGAGTCTGAGAGTGTGTTCTGGGAAAAGGTGATTGCATGCTTGCCCTGTCCTTACATTCTTCCCTAGACAGCTACTTTCAGCCCTATTTGGAGGCTGACTGAACCTTTTGGTTTGACCTACTGCAGCCAACCGTTACAAATTGTAGGAAATAAGCAAAATAATTTTTTTTTACTCTCTTTCCCAAACATGACACTTAACTTTCCTTGGTGGTATTCCCAACTGGCAAAAGCTAACAAGAACTTTGTCAGATATTACTAATATATTTTATATACCTTAGTATTTGGTAAGGTCACTGGAGTTTTAGGTGAGCTTGTAGTTTAAGATATCATTACCAGTTGTTTACATCTTGAAATAATTTTCAAGCTTGAAAACTCATTTCATAGAGAGAACTATGTGAAAAGAGAATTGATATTGATAGAAGCAATGCAGGGAAACTGCTTTGATATAAATATTTGAGGGGGCCAGGCAATGGTCTGGTGGGGGGAAGGGGTGGAAAAAGTGGTAATTTCAATCTGCCTTCTTTCATGGTGGGATTGGCATCACTTAGAACAGTAGTTTTAACCTTACGGCTACTTTAATTTCCTGTTCTGTAAATTGGTAGCTGCTTAACTTCCTAGCTTAGTGCACAGTGATTTTTAGTTGCACTTCAAGCATTTTCTGAAGGAGTGACTGGCTTTGTGGAAATACTAAAGAATTCTTGTGAATTCTTCAAAGTCTTTTGAATCTGCAAACATAGAGGCCAGTATTAGGGATTTAAAATTCATCTAGTACTGAATATTTCAAGAATACAAGTGTTTTATACTTCCTTTTTATCCCTTTGGGAAATTTGCACCAAGTGTAATAGATCACATAATCTATTAAGCTAGATTCTGCCGTTACTGTCAGAACGTGAAAAGATGCACAAGTCTTTCCATTTTTCATTCTTCTCAGTCAAAAAACGGAAAATAACAAATGTTTTACAGATACTGTTAACTGAACGTTTTTGAAGAGTGGGTGGTGTTTCCATTATCAGGCAGGATTTGCCAATACTTTAATTTGAATGTTTGGTAGGTGATGAATAATGTGTTGGCCAAAGTGTTGTGAAGATTAAATTTATTCAGTTAAACAAATGAAAGATTATTATTATGGTCTTGAGTAAAAATATATATATATATACTTACAACATGCATGAGATTAGAACTCTTGTTATTAGCCATGCAATGATATGTGGTAGTGTAGATGCTGGCATACTTAGCATGCAGGAAAATCCGTTTTTCAGTAATGGAACGTGGTGACCTCAATATAAGTAAAAACTAATACATCCAAGCCCTACAAAATACCTTAGTTTGCTACTAGATGCATTTACGTTTCATCTGTGAAGACATGGCACCAACATGCAAAAATTCAGTTCTTTGTAACACTGTTACTCATTCAGACAAACTTTCAGCCTAAATATTTCAGATGTGTTTTATTTAGACTTTTGCTTCATAACCAGCTGTTGTTCACTGTTAGCTTCTAAGAAGCTATAAAAGCAGATTTGGCAGACACAGGTAATGAATTTAAACTTTAGGCCAAATAACTTCTTAGTAAACCAAAATTCTTCTAATGAGCCTTGAACAACATGATTTTACAGTATTGTTATATATCATAAGTTCATTAATAAGTAATACTGCATAAGCAATAGCTGCATTATTGCCTACTCGGATTGCATCTTTAGTGATTTCAGCCTGCCTCAGTATTTTCTGTGGTAACTATTTACAAGATTCCTTTGACCATTTAAAAATTAAATTTGCATTTTAAAGTCGATCAGAGCTTCGACATGAATGCTACTTAATGTATTGTTGAATGTACTTAAAATACTGATTCTGTTTCATGTTCCTTACAGGTGCATTCTACTTCCCCTTTTGGGAATGAAGCCCCCTCAGCAGAGCCTCTTCCTGCTTGTAGATTCAGTTGATGAGGGCTGTAATGTTTCCGAGGGTGAACAGACTTCTACAGGTTTATCTGGAACAGTAGCAGAGCTTTTAGCTGGCCACTTTGAGTTCTTCCCTCCCTGGCTGCTCCTTCTATGTTCTGCCCGCAAGCAGAGTAAAGCTGTTACAAAAATGTTTACAGGTGAGTACAGATCATAAGAAGCGTTTGTTACCTGTTCCCTTTAACAGGGACATAGTATTTACAAGATCATCAGTGATGGTTGAAAGCACTGATGCATGCCTAATTCTAAAAAATGGTCATGACAAAAGTTAAAATTCTTAAGAATGTATACTATATATATATAAAATATATAATGTATAAATAAATAAAAATATATAGAGAGAGAGGTGTATTATATCTTTGTAATACAAGTGTTGGTAACTGAGTTTTTTTCCCTGCTTTGCTTCTCCTGAAGATCTGTGAAACAGGGTAAATGATGTGTAATGCATAAGTATGTCTGCTGTATACACCCAGTTCTACAATCTCAAAAGATTTTTTCATCTCATGTTGAAATTTCTTTTCTTTTCAGAAGGCAGGGAATAACCTTTGAAGGCAGAACTTGAGAGGGTAACAGTGTAGATTGGGATTCCCAGAGTAAGCTTTTGGCAGAGGCTGCACAGCGAAGAATTCCTTACAAGTTCTTCATCCAGGCTTTACTGTGTCACGAGAACATTTCTTCACTATACTGACATTGTTACTGGACGTTTTCTGAAATTTAGTAAAAGGCAATATCTACACTGGATTCCAGGCTGATTCATAAAGCCTGTGTGTTTTAAGGCAACAATTAGGACAAAAATGTGATTATAGAACATAGACCCATAGGCTTCCTCGTTTCCACAGTGGCAAAAGGTCAATGTGATAATTGCATTTTGGAATGAAGTACTGTATTAATCAGTGGCAGACATGAACGGTGGTATGTGGGAGAATCTGAGAACCAAAGGAAACTCTGGGGTAGTTTCATAGGACTTCTTTGGATGTTCATATGGGAATAGTTTTGTCAAAACTTGGCTGATTAGATACATTGTCATTGCCAAAAACCAGACAAAACTTTCTTCAGAACTGTTTTATTTCCTTTCCACTGAATCATATTAATATTGCAGACTGGTCCTAAGAAAATGCTGTTGTCTTCTAAGTATGTTTCCAGACGGAATTCTTGACAGGAAAAATCAGCAGAACGAATGGATATGTCTTTAAAATAAATTTAATTTGAATGAGTTAAGTTCTCATTTCCACGGAGAATGTTTTGATGAATAGCGTAATAAGGAAGTTGACTTGGAATATTATAATGCCATCTTCATTGTGGAAAAAGTACAGATAAGAAAGAATGAATCTCAGAATAATTGGACATAAATTGAGATGAAATGTTAGGGTCTGTTTGGAGGAAGTGGTGTTTTTTTCCCACTGTGAGAGAAAACTATAGCATTATGGCCGATGTGACAGTTATCCACTTAATACGCTGTTGGATAATTTTCGTATTTGCAGCCATTACTCAAGTTTGCGAAAGATTTAGTGATAATGCACGGATGATGGTTGAATCTTCTTCTAACTTCAGATACAATGCAATTTTGTGTTGCAAAACTCAAGATAGTTTTGATTTTGTGTTTTTAGCCTGAAAGGAATAGACTGTCATTAACACTTCTACTGAGGCAAACTCTTCTCCTTTGTCGTATTTGCATGTTTACTTTTATCTGAGCCAGTTTTTTTTAAGCTGGTTAATGTGGTAGGCCAGCAGAATGCAAGATTTGTGGTGAGTGTTTTTTGCACTTATGATAGAAGAAATGGTGTATAACGTGCTCTGCTCTTGGGGACACTCTTACACTGAAATTCTAATGCTTCCAATTTCCCAGCAAATAGGCATTCACAAGTCTATCTATAATATGAGCACTGTACATTTTCTTCAGATGTTTCTTCAATCTGGAACAAAAATCACTTTTGCTGTAACTTAATAAGGTAGATTGGAATCTCTTCAGCATCATTTTAGGAAAATGAGTCCCATCTGTAGTTTTATGTGCTAAAACCTTTAAAGTAAGTCATGAAAGATATACTGGCTGATACTGATTTGTTTATAAACAATTTATATCAAGTTTCGTTTAAATTTTTCATGTAATGAAAACTTCTAGAGACCTACTGAAATAAGAGCTAAACCTATTTGTCAGAATATGTTTCAGATGATCAGGGTAGGGTTGCTGCTGTGGCGTGGTCCTGGTGATGGTTTTTTGGGGGGGGCGTCCGATATAGATGAGAGTTCTGCAAGCTTATCCCAACCAAAAATAGTTTGTGCATGGAAGAAAGAGTCCACTGTTCGGGCCACTGTTATCTTGCTGCTGCCCATGGTAAATATATCATTCCTACCACCAGATAATGTAAGAATGAGAAGGAAAGAAGGAAGTTTATTCTAGTCCTGTTTGTTCCTTCACTTTTTTTGATGACTTATTCATGAACGTTCAATAATTCTCCACTGTCTGTATCTGCAGTGGCTTGTGTTCTGGGCCCCTGCGTATTCTAAGATTCTGTAGTAGCACAGCGTGCTACAGATTTTTCTCCTTACTCCAGAATCTCAGCTTTCATTAATTTAAAGCAAAAAAAAAAGTATTTTTTGCCTCTTGTGGCTGCAAAGACAACCTCAAAAATATGAACCAAATGTAAACTGATGCCTGCGTGAGTCTGCGGTCACCCTCCACAGTGAGCAAAAGCCAGCCAATGGAGTGAAAAAGAGGGGGAATGGATAATGCATGTCCTGCTGCCTCCTCTTGTATGTAAACTGTCACCAGCTACCACATCATGCCTGCTTGCTTTTCTTATGGATCTTTTCCTTATTTAGCCATTCACTCCTATGTCATAATTATCCACATCATCTCCTACATTGTAGTTTGCTGTCATTCATCAGCAAGTATGGACTACTGAATGGTTGCATTAAACACATTTTTTCCAATCTTTGATTATAATTTGTTAGGAAAAGTTATATTTCTAAGTAACTGAAAAATCTCTCTAACCTGAAAGTGGCACAGAGCATATAATTATTTTTTTATTTATTATGCTTCAGCTAATTAGCTAATACAGGGGTTTCTTCTAAAATGAGGCTAAATCTTAAAAGTACAGTAGATACTCTTAAACTAAAATCTGTTTTTTACAGATCTATCATATGGATTTAAAAGCTTTAGATATTTTAAAATCAGGCAACTTTAGATATGATTGAGTGAAAAGCATTTATTTCCTCATTTAATAGCACAAAAATAAGTAAATGTTCAATACTTTTATGCGCAAATGCACTATTTCTTGAGACTTTTTTAATAGACAGTTACTTAATTTCTTCTTCTGAGCTACACATAGAAAACAAATATTCATGTATTTTGTTGGCATCTGGCTTAATTACACCCCTCAATTAAACATTGACATTCTCTCTCAAAAGAACTGAATCTCCTGCTTGAGGCATGTGTGCGCCAGAATGGTAGAGTTCAAGTGGATGTCACGTTTCAGGGAACCATAGTTACCATAAAGTTAATGTTAGATATTGGAAACAGCAACAAAAAATCTCCCCAAAATGCATATGAAAGGGTTTAGACCAGCATCAGAGACAGCTTACACTCCATTCACCTGCTTATCCATGGGCAAAAGCAGACAGTGGGTCATTCATCTTTCCCTCATCCATTCATCCATCGTTCAGTTCCAGACATTCAGATATTATTAAAAGCTGACGTTTATCCAGACGTATTCTGGATTAGAAATCTTGGGAGCGTAGATCTTTCTAGTACTTTCACTATTTGCTAGTTTTAGTCCTAACTGATGTTGAAAATAATCATTCTTGTAGCTTCTCCTAAAATTCAGAAATGGGCAAGAATATGAAAACTTTGGAGGAATGCAGTAAAAATCATGACCAGCTTCTCTGTCTCCAGTTGGTTTATTCAAGCTACTCTGTCAGTCATACTGGTGAATCCTCAAATCAAGTCAGTTGCCTGATTTGGAACTGAGCCTTTCCTTTTCACTTGTCAACTCCAAAACATAAACAGCATGAGACTCCTTTGGGAGAGATTGTTTCAGAAAAAGAAAATCTGAGTTGTTCTCTGATTTTTCATTGGAAGTTGGAATGTATTCAGATAGTTTCATGTTGCTTTAAGGTCTTTATGTTGGATTTTGACCATAAAAGAAAATTTATACAGCTATTTGATAGCTGTATAGTTGTAAAATTTATTCCTATATTCAAAACATTTTACTCAAAAGGCTTGGGACATAATTTGGGCAGCCTTTTTCCCTATTAGCACAGGGACGTGATGCTAATTACTTGGTACTTCACCTCTTCTCACTCTTTTTTGATTACCACTTTGAAAAGTTGATATTAGGGAATATCACATTAAATATTTCCTAGTAAAAGTTCTGTGTGCCTTTTGAAGAAAACTTTCCCTGCTATATGTTTTTATTTTTTGTAATTAAAGAGGGAATTTTTTGTTTTTTTTTTTTTAATGGACTGTTATCAGTAAATCTAACTAAATAAGCTTCTGTGCGTTATCTTGCACTGTGAGAGTGGCAGAATTCAGTCAAGACTTTTCCAATGTCTCTAAGCATCTGTGGTGGATGTGATGAAATGTGGAACATAATATGCTGCCAGTGCCCTAAGTTAACTGTGCTCCTTTAGTTTTCAGGTGCTTTTTACTCTGCTGGATACATTATTCTTTTTGCACAGATGTGCATAAATGGCAATAGAAATTCCTAATTTAATACATGCTTAGATCAGCAATGTATATTGTTAATATCAATATATTGCCATGTTTTTAATCATTTGGATTATTTTAAAGTTAACAATGCAGTTAAACAAATGAAATATATTAAAGCCTATTTAAAATCTGTGCAATAGAATTTATTTAGATAATATCTTAATAGAAGGATATTTTTAAGTATTTTGTGGAGCCTACTTTTTTTGAGGTATGTTTTTTTAAGTTTGAAAAGGTTGACATATTGTAGAAGTATTTATATAGCCAAGATGCATTTTTTTTTTTCTTTGAATGACCCCAGACCTTGCCAAGAAGTACATTTGGAACTGATTTGTTTACAGAGCTGCCAGGAATTCAATAAATCAGGAAAATCCATGCTGGAGCTCCTATTGGGTTGAAAGTGATGTGTTGTAAGAAAAATCTTAACAACGCAAAAAGCAGGGTCGTGGGACTGCAGATTCTGTCTGCTGCGCTCCCTTTTTGCTGAGCTTAGGTAGTTCATGGGAATGCATCTGAAACAAAACTAGCTTTCTCGTTATGTTTTAATGCTTCTTGTCTGTGAAAGTGACTTACTGTATCTAATGGGGTTGAAAAGCAAATTTGCTGGATCTTTGTTTGGAAGTATAAAATGACCTTATTTAGCTAGGTGCTCAGCAGAAAAACACAGCTTTGTTGTACTCTTTCAAACTAGCAACAGGAATTTCAGAGTTTTTATTAAACTATTATCTATCTATAAAGCCTTTTAAAAATTTATTTATTATAGTGTGGCTTGGTGCAGTGGCTAAAATTAGCACCCTCTTTCTGTTCAGAAGCCTTTACAATGGAAGCTTATTAATCCCAACCCTTAAGGAACATATTCCTGGGATATGGCAAAAATCTGTATGACTGTAGTTCCTGTTGCTATACAGGCTTGTCTTCAGATATATAGATATAGAATTTCACTGAGAAGGAATATTTTGAAGTATTTCAAGAGAAAAAACAACCTTTAGTTTGCGTGAACATACACCAATCAAATTATTTGGATGACTGAGTTCTGCTCTGAAGTCTTCTGCAATTTATTTGCTTGTCTGGAGTGTTTTAGGCATTTGGTATGTCTCAGGAGAGTACAGAGAAGGGCAATATTCTCTACTATAGCATGGAACAAAGTAATGGTACAACCTCATTTAAAAAAAAAAAAAATCCTGTCTTACTTTCTCTCCACCAGGGTTTGTGCTTGTTTGCTTGTTTTCATGATCGCATCCAAAATGGCTCAATTCACTTTGCTACCTGTTTTGGGAAGCAAAATTAAAATTTATATTTAAAAAAATAGGTTGAATTCCAGGATAAGCAAGAGTTCTCTGCTTTTGAAGCAATTGAATTATAGGGCACACACACTCGGGCTCAGACTGAGGTGCTTGAACAGTTATTACTCTGCGAGTTCATATGAGAAGGCTATGAATCACGGAAGGTGAAGAGTATTCAGTTAGCTGGTCAACACTGAGCATTATCAAAAATCTCAGGATTGCTGCCATGTGCATCTATCAGAGGTTTTCTTATTTGGGGAATGTAATCGACTGTTGCAAAAAATTGAGAAATCATTGAAGTTATTTTAAAAACAGAAGTAACTTACGTATGCAGATATATAGGAAGGAAAGATAAGGGCATGGGATTAACCTGAGAGACTGGAGATGTCACGAGGAGAATCTCTTACAGGGAGACGCGTTCAGATGGAGTCTGCAGAGCTTTGTGCCTTTTCTCGTTCAGCCGAGTGACAGCTACTGATTTGGTCGGGAGAAGCATTCAAGGCACTCTTAACAGAGAGGCTTAAAGAATGAGAAAGTCAGTGGAGATGATGGTTGTGTTTGCTCTGGATTGAGCAAAATGGAGCTGTGCCTTGCACGCGTGACGGTGAGACAACCGAAGCTACACTGAAGTGCCTGATTACAGCTCTGAGTGTGCATACGGCTATAGTTGCATGGAGCCAAGCATTGAATCGAATGCATGAAGCCAGCTCTCCGTTTTTAATTCCACTGTTTTCACTTTTATATCTTCTGAACAATGATAATTTAGAAATAGCCTTTCATTTAAAAGGAAAGCTTAGAATCTGCAGAATATGAGGGCACTAGCTGTCCTTACTCAGTGAAGTTTCTTACTTATATGCATGAACTACAGGTTTTGCAAAGTTGCATACAGAATATTTTAATCAAATGAGTAATAAAAATCAATGAATGACGCCATTCTGCAGGTCAGTTTAGGACATTACTATAAATTGTGATGAATTATGGTGGATAAAGCTAGTTCTTTATTTGTTTGGAGAGCTAATATGATATACCTCTGTACAGCAGAGAGCAATCCCCCAAAATCTTGTTTTCTGTCTCCTTACCTTCTCATTCAAAAATCTGCAAGTTCGACACTGTTATTAGTGTAGTCTTAGTGTGAAAAGTGACTGTGCAAAAGTGTTACTTTGTCTTACCAGTTCATTTTATTTGGGGGAGAAGCATACTTATGTTTTAAGTATTCTACTGATTTAGTCCTGTTAGATTTGTATAGCCAGCATAATTGATGAAGGAAGTAGGATACTAAAGCAGTATCATCACCAGAACTTGCCCCTCAGTTCTAGTCTGTTATATTTGTACAATGTTAATGGAGACTAAACAGTTAATGGAGTGAGCCTAATTTTGCCTTTACTGAAGGCATTCAGGAACAAAAGCACAGTTTAATTTTCAGGCTGAATTTTTGGCTAAACAAGCTCGCAGACTGAGCAGTTTGATCCATAGAATATTTAAATATAATAAAAACGTTGATCAGAAAATGACACTTTTCAGTGTGTCACTTAAAGCTATTTGTTCTATGGAGATAGGGCCCAAATTGAATTGAATGTGTTACTGTATGATTGCTCTTCCTTCAGTATAATTTAGGGGCTAATAACTGCTTTTGGTTTGAAAAGCAACATTTTTTCGACTAGATTAGCTGACTCTAAGGAAACATATGCAAGTTGCTACACTGGCAGATGCAATGTGAACCTGCAGAAGTGAGGTACAGCTCTGGCTTAAAATACAATTTTAAACTTGGTAGTTTAAGTTGCTATTTCAGTGACTTCTGTAGGTTTCCTGTAGCTTCCAGAAAAGTAGTGTTCAAACAACATAATGTTTCATTAAACAAAGAAGGTAGGTCTTTGGCAAAGGCATAAGTTGGTAGTAGCAAAACAAATGTTTAAAATGACAGAGATCAACTGCATAGTCCATGTAACATCCTTTATATGCTCTGTTCTGCCTCTTTCTTGAGAGCTTGCTTGCTACTGAAATTGCCCTAGAGACTGTTTTTCACCTATTTCTAAACACTGCATTCCTGTGCTCTGTGAGGGTAGCACACAGTCAGTGTATGTGTGCGGGTGTGTATGTGTATGCATCTAGGGAGGAGGTAGACCCAGTGTACATATGCATGCACAAAATAATTTCCCTTTTTTCTTTCAAGTGTAAACAGGTTGGAATAACAATGGGATCATATGATGATAAGAAAACCTGTTTCCCTGTACAATGAGTCACTTACCAAAGAACCAGGGTGTTTACCTATAATACAGTCTCTATTTGGAAAAGAACTTAATATTCAGTGCACAGGATTATAAAGATATTTAAAGCTATTTTTGGAGTGTCTCTCTTTGAAATCATAAAGGCTTTTAAAAGAAAATAAGGCGATCACGTTAAGTGATTTGATATATACGTTTTATCATACATATGTACCAGGTTTGAATAATCTCTTCTATAATATATGTAGTAGTTGTCTTAATCTAAATAGCTGAAAATTATTTCGAGGTCCACTGTAAACTAAATTGGAGACAGGATTATTCCTTTAATAATATTTAATAATCTTATTTAGGTTGCAATTCTGGTTTTGGTTTTTTGTTTTCACTTAGATGTTTCGTATTGCTCAAGGCAGACAAGCAGTGCCTGATTCAAAGTCACTTTGAAAATTTTCCCATTTAGTAATATGATAAAATAGTAGATTATGATAAAGCAATGTATGTATCTATTATCAAAGTTCTCTACTATTAACATAAATTTACATTCAGTGTTTGTACATGCAAAATACGTTATAGTTGCTGTTCCCTACCCAGAAGTATTTCTCTCTTCTCTTTTTTTGTTTTTGCTTTTTTTCAACTTGGAGTTACTTATTTTTGATCTAATTTTAATTAACTTTCTTCTCTTCTAATAGGTTTTCGAAAAATAAGTCTGGATGATCTACGAAAGGCTTATATCGTGAAAGATGTGCAACAGTATATTCTACATCGTTTAGATCAGGAAGAAGCACTGAGACAACATCTCACAAAAGAAACTGCAGAAATGCTGAATCAGCTTCACATCAAAAGCAGCGGTTGCTTTTTGTATCTGGAACGTGTTCTGGATGGTGTTGTGGAGAATTTTATCATGCTACGAGAGATCCGTGATATTCCAGGAACATTAAATGGCCTATATCTTTGGCTTTGTCAGAGACTTTTTGTGAGAAAACAATTTGCAAAGGTCCAGCCTATTCTTAATGTAATTCTTGCGGCATGCAGGCCATTAACCACAACGGAATTGTATCATGCAGTATGGACCAAAAATATGACACTGACTGTGGAAGAGTTTCAACGCAAGTTGGATGTCCTGTCAAAAGTCCTTATTGATGGTCTTGGAAATACAAAAATCTTGTTTCATTACAGTTTTGCAGAGTGGTTGCTGGATGTAAAGCACTGTACACAGAAATACTTATGTAATGCAGCAGAGGGACACAGAATGCTGGCAATGAGTTACACCTGCCGAGCAAAGGATTTAACACCATTAGAAGCTCAAGAATTTGCATTGCATCTAATTAATTCAAATTTACAGTTAGAGACTTCAGAGTTGGCTTTGTGGATGATATGGAACGGCACACCTGTCAAAGACTCCCTGTCAACCTTAATTCCTAAAGAACAAGAAGTATTGCAGCTACTGGTAAAAGCCGGTGCTCACGTCAACAGTGAAGATGACCGTACATCTTGCATCGTTCGGCAAGCTCTGGAAAGGGAAGATTCCATCCGTACCTTGTTAGACAACGGAGCCTCAGTAAACCAGTGTGACTCGAATGGGAGAACGCTCTTAGCCAACGCAGCGTACAGTGGCAATCTCGATGTTGTTAACCTGCTTGTTTCAAGGGGAGCAGATTTAGAGATAGAAGATACTCATGGGCAAACGGCACTTACCTTAGCTGCTCGACAGGGACATACCAAGGTTGTCAATTGCTTGATTGGATGTGGGGCTAACGTTAACCACACAGATCATGATGGCTGGACAGCTTTGCGATCTGCAGCATGGGGTGGGCACACAGAGGTGGTTTCTGCACTCCTTTATGCTGGAGTCAAAGTGGACTGTGCGGATGCAGATAGTCGAACAGCGTTGAGAGCAGCAGCTTGGGGAGGACATGAAGATATTGTGTTAAATCTGCTTCAGCATGGTGCTGAAGTTAACAAAGCTGATAATGAGGGTCGAACAGCTTTGATTGCTGCAGCATACATGGGACATAAAGAGATTGTGGAGCACCTGCTGGACCATGGTGCAGAGGTAAACCATGAGGATGTGGATGGAAGGACTGCGCTATCTGTTGCCGCACTTTGTGTACCAGCTAGTAAGGGACATGCTTCAGTGGTTAGCCTTCTAATTGACCGTGGTGCTGAAGTTGACCACTGCGATAAAGATGGCATGACTCCACTGCTGGTAGCTGCTTATGAAGGACACGTGGATGTTGTTGATCTACTTCTAGAAGGAGGAGCTGATGTTGATCACACAGACAACAATGGTCGTACACCTCTTCTGGCAGCAGCCTCCATGGGCCATGCTTCGGTTGTAAATACTCTCTTATTTTGGGGTGCAGCTGTTGATAGCATTGATAGTGAAGGGAGAACAGTTCTGAGCATAGCCTCCGCACAAGGCAACGTGGAAGTGGTACGGACTTTGCTGGACAGGGGACTAGACGAAAACCATAGAGATGATGCAGGCTGGACACCTTTGCACATGGCAGCTTTTGAAGGTCACAGGTTGATATGCGAAGCACTTATAGAACAAGGTGCTAGAACAAATGAAATTGATAACGACGGACGTATACCTTTCATTTTGGCTGCACAGGAAGGTCACTATGATTGCGTGCAGATTTTACTGGAAAATAAATCTAACATCGATCACAGAGGCTACGATGGGAGAAATGCTCTCCGGGTTGCTGCTTTAGAAGGTCACAGAGATATAGTTGAACTGCTGCTCAGCCACGGAGCAGATGTAAACTACAAAGATGCCGATGGCCGGCCAACGCTATATATCTTAGCATTAGAAAACCAGCTTACAATGGCTGAGTATTTTTTAGAAAATGGTGCAAACGTAGAAGCAAATGATGCTGAAGGAAGAACAGCACTCCATGTTTCCTGCTGGCAGGGCCATTTGGAGATGGTACAGGTGCTGATAACATACCATGCTGATGTGAATGCTGCAGATAATGAGAAGAGATCTGCTTTGCAGTCTGCTGCTTGGCAAGGTCATGTGAAGGTAGTGCAGCTTTTAATTGAGCATGGAGCTCTGGTTGACCATACGTGTAATCAAGGTGCTACTGCACTCTGCATCGCAGCCCAAGAGGGGCACATTGATGTTGTGCAAATATTACTGGAGCATGGTGCTGATCCAAATCATGCTGACCAATTTGGACGCACTGCTATGCGTGTTGCAGCTAAAAATGGACACTCTCAGATTATTAAATTACTGGAAAAATATGGTGCATCTACTCTGAATGGTTGTACTCCATCTCCAGTCCACACAATGGAGCAAAAACCCTTGCAGTCAGTCTCCTCTAAAATGCAATCATTAACAATGAAGTCAAATAGTTCAGGGAGTACTGGTGGAGATATGCAGCCTAGCATGCGTGGGTTGTCCAATGGGCCAGCTCATGCATTCAGTTCTCCTTCAGAATCACCTGATTCTACAGTTGACCGTCAGAAGTCATCTTTATCAAATAATTCTCTAAAAAGTTCCAAAAATTCTTCTCTCCGTACCACGTCCTCAACTGCAACTGCTCAAACAGTGCCCATTGATAGTTTCCACAGTATGTCATTTACAGAGCAAATACAGCAGCATTCCCTGCCACGCAGCAGAAGTAGGCAGTCTATTGTTTCTCCTTCTTCCACAACTCATTCCTTGAGTCAAAATCATAATTCACCGAGTAGTGAATTTGAATGGAGCCAAGTAAAACCTAGTTTGAAATCAACTAAAACAAACAAAGGGGGGAAAACAGACAACTCCGGCAAATCTGGCTCAGGTGGAAAAAAAACAAAACAAAGTAGTTCCTCTCAACCAAAAGTGTTAGAGTATGAAATGACTCAGTTTGATAAACGAGTACCCGTTGCCAAATCTGGGACAAGCGTGCCACATAAATCAATGCCAGCAGAACCACAGTGCAAAATTCTGGTCCCACCAGCTCAGCAAGAAGTTGGTCGATCTCAGCAACAGTTCCTCATTCACCAACAGAGCGGGGAACAGAAGAAGAGAAATGGAATTATGACAAATCCAAATTATCATCTTCAAAGCAATCAGGTATTTCTTGGTAGGGTTTCTGTCCCACGAACAGTGCAGGATAGAGGGCATCAAGAAGTATTGGAAGGCTATCCACCCGCGGAGACAGAACTCAGCCTTAAGCAAGCCTTAAAACTTCAGATTGAAGGTAGTGACCCAAGTTTCAACTACAAGAAAGAAACACCATTATAAAAGGTAACCTGTGTAGTCACAAAGGAATCAAATGCGTGTATTGCACTGTGTGCGTTTTAAGTAAGCTCAGAATACATTTCACCGTAGTTTATCATCATAATTGCTTTCTTAATAAAGAAGATGAATGTTAAATTCCTAACCTAGCAGGCATTTTGTTTTGTTGTCATTTAAAAGCGTCAGCCTTACAAGATTTGGATAGCCGTTACATTCTCTGCTGAATTCTGATGGGTCAAATCCTGCCCCACAGTCTTTGATATGTAACTGAATAAAATAGCATATTTCATATAGAGCTGAACTGCAATTTTCTTTTGGAATATGAGGAGAGTTAGGAATTTTAGTATGTGATATTTTCAGAGGTAGTCATCCATGAATTCATGCAGTTCTGTCTGTTTTGGGTAACTGTAGTCATATCTACAAAAATGCTTTTCCAGAAACTTTTGAAGATTCCTGCATGTTACAGACAACCATTTTACTTTTTGGACTTTAGCTTTCAAACGTGAAATCTGACTAGCATAATTATCTACAAATTTAAAAGTTAAAATACTACCTGAGGCATTTATTTTATGTTTCTGTTACTGTGAAGTAACCCTTCTTTAAAAGAGATGGCCTACCTCATAGGAAGATTAGAATTTATGTTGTGGTACCAATTTTCTTACATTCCTCCGTTCTTAAGAATAAGATGAAAATCATTGGAGTTCGTTTTGATTCTTTTATTTTCTCTCCAATACCTAATGTTATGCTGAAGATGGAATTCTGTGTAGCTTTTTCAAACATATACTGTCAGTGAGTCAGCGAAAGGAGAACCGATTTTCTCCCTTATCCTGGTGAGGTTTGTTTGTTTTTCTTTCTTAGGGTATTGAGAATGTGTTAACAATGAATATTGTGCATTTGAAGTTCAGAGGAGCACCATCTTTACGAAATGCGTATGCTCTCCCATTTGCTTATTTCTAAATTATATTTTTTTGTTTGTGTGAATACTGCACTTCTGACAGACGAGACTGCTGCTCTTTAGAACAAAAATGTTCTCGGCAGCTGACTCAGTTCTGCTGCAAGTCATCAAAGACTGCAGATTTTTTAGGACAATTGCAGATGTTTCGCAATGTCCAAATGGGAGATTTTAAGCTGTCAAAAGTACATAGTCAGTGTTTGTCCTCAAATGCCCTGGAAATAGAATTCAGTTTAGTGGGATATGTTTTTCTAGGTTTAGCTGAGATGTCTTGTAAATTTTGAAGTCACAATGTTGTGTAGGATCCTAAGATGTTTCCTTGTGGGTAGCATTTTGGTGAAATCAGAACATTTTGAATAAGTGTTCCAAAAAAACTGTATACCAGACCAGATGTAGGTTTATAAAATGCAAATATTAGCATTACTTACCAAAGGGTCACATGAACTCTGGAGCCAGCAGAAGTGCAGAGGCAGGACTATGGGAGCAGGGATTTGGGGAATAAGTGGATGAGAGAAGATGGGCCTTAACTCTTACTGATGAAAGTCAAAAAAATTTTAGTTTTCTACAGTTCTACATCAGGTCCAAAATGGGATTCAAATTTGTTTGTGAATTTTTTCCTGCTGCCGTAGAATATACTAAAATATATAATTAACGATTGTGTTTCATAACTCTTCTGTACGTCAGCCTGCCTTTCAGTTTTAGTTTTAATCATGTTAAATTTTATTGTGTTTAGTTCAGTCCTAAGATGTACTGATTTGTTCTGACCTGTCATCAAAAGACCAATACTGTTTAGAAGCATAGATAAAATAATCCCTTTTGCACACTCTTTAGAATTTTCTGTCTTGGTTGATTTTATATTTTTCGTTTAAATTTTAAAAATGTGAACTGGCACGTACAGTTTTAGAACTCCAGTTGGGCTTTACCTTCCCTGGAGCAAGTACTGCTTTTTTCAAAGTTCAGGGTTTTTTTCCCATGAAGTGCCTGTTCATGTACAGAGCATGCAAGGTGACGGATAACCAAATGGTTCCTTTTGCTCTCTCTAACAATGTTACACAGCTTCATTTTAAATATGGCATTTCAAAGCAATTTTGTGTAGTTTGGTGCAGTGGAATTATTTGGTGCAAGCCATAAATTACCTCTTTTTTTGCCAGGTCTAAAGCACAAAAGCAGTCACTTCCCTGACCAGTGAATCACCCTGGTCACCTGTACAGAATTATGTCAAAAATATCCTATCAGTGCATGTGGGGAATGGTGCTTCCTCCTGGGCTGCCCCTTCTGAGTTAGATTCAGAAGCTTGTATTGCTGTGAGGACCATGGAGCGGCTTGGATAGTAGAGCGCATAGGAGAGCGCGTGATTTGGTTTAGACAGGAAATACTTTTCATCGCCAGTACATTGTTGAATGTTTTTAACCTGAAGTGGAAATTATGTAGCTGTCTTTCTGACCTCGTACATACTAAGGAATATTTCAAAACTTAACATTTTTTGTTTTCCACTTTTAGGCCGATTCCATGATGCTCTCAACAGAAGCGCTTCGCTCAGAATGGTTTATCAGCTGGCTGGGATGAAAGCACACAATGCCTGTTTAGTCCATCTAGAAATTTAAGAATGTGATTATTACAGTGCGGTTACCTTAATTACTGTAACGTGCCTACTTTTTAAGGCTGCCTTCTCAGTATAACCCTCTGTGCTTCAGAAATTTATTTTGTGTACTTTGTATTTAATACACAGAATGAGAATGAGCACTTTTTTTTTAATTGCAGAAAGTCATACGCTGTATTTCTCTGATAACAGCTGAAAATTATAAGAGCAAGGAATTCTGACTTCCTGTTCCAGAACGCTTGGAAGAGGTGCATGTGCCACAGTGAACTGCGTATGGAAAGGCAGTGCTTTTTGTATTTATTTTCCTGTGGCTAAAGAAAATAAGCAATTTCTCACATTTGCATTGCTGTAATGTATGGGCAGTTTCCTGTGTACTTCGAAAAGTTCTCTCACATACAAATCTTGTGACAGTATTTCATAAATACTGTACTTGTGTGTTCTTTATACAATGGCTATTCAGTGGCAGCAAAAGCGTCAAACTGCAACCTTCTGCAGTGCCTTTGGGATTTTTATGCAACAGAAAATCCAGTATCTGGTATTACAGCACCAAATCTTCATGGCAGACTGTGACCACTGAACATGATAGGCAAATCTGGTCTTGGACATCTGATCTTAAATAGTCCTAATTATTGTTATGGTAATGAGGTAACTTAATATGGGTATGTCTTAGGTGCTAAGTAAAAACCTCTGGTCCTGTCTTCATGTATATCTTCATATGTTAGAAACAGTTAGCTCTTTATTTTTCCAGGTAGAAGGACTGTGTTGAGAACATCAATAAAGCAATTCCGTGCAAAAAACTACAGAAGCTTTGTTAATTAGACTGAGAGAATATGCAATGAGAGTATAATGGAAAAACAAAAGGTTAGTAGCACCATTGACTGTGGAATACAAAGATTACTGCATTAGCACTGTCCTGGGACGGCAATTCTATATAGGGCAAACTGATGTGGATGTAGTTACTGCTTCCAGTCCTCAGATGGATTGTGTGCAGCCAGTGTGAGTATCTCTGTACCTGGAGCATGGTTAATCAGCAGCCTGGCTAGTCCATCTACAGATAATAGAAAGCTGGTTCTCCACTCCTACAGGAGAAAAATAGTACTTGCATAAGGGAGTGCAAAATCAAGGCCATTGTGTGTAAGAAGTGAGCAGTATGAAATTTTCCTTTGAATGTGCACAACTTACTTGCACAGCTCTGAGTGACAGAATGAAGCAAGTGATTGTTTTCTTTTTTTTTTCTTAAAAATGCAAGCTATATTCTACTATTCACCATTATACAGCCTTTCCTCTTTAGAAAATAAGGCTATTTTTATACATGAGTGTTTCTTCTCAAGGCTTGAGAGTCATCTTTTTCATAGTCTAATTCTGATCAATCCACAAATAAGTAAGATAACAGAAAGCTGAGGTTATTTTTTCATAGAGGATTAATTAGATGTATGGCTATCCTTAAATTTTGATAAATGGCCCCTGGATGTATATCTAGTACATATTCTGAGGCACTAAAGGGCTCAGTGGCTTATTATTACGATTAACAATCACTAGAACATTTCTGAAGTTAGATTTTTTTTTTTAATATCTTGCACCTCCGTTCTTATTCACTTGTTACTAAATGTAAAAAGAAAATCTTTTATAGTGAGGCATTCAGTGCATAGTAAAATTACATGTTAAAAGTTGACACACAGCAATATTGATTATTCTGAATGTTTCATATTATTGAATTTCTTGTCCCTGTGGGACAATTATAAGATTAACGTAACAGGAGTCTTGCAAAATGGCCTTAAGAGGGTTAGTGGCTAAGTAAAGAGGGAATACCAAAACGTTCTCAGCAAACTTATTCTGAACCTCAAGTACAGTACGTATGCAATACTGTGCAAGAATAAAACTTTGCTTAGTTATGAGATGTATGTTTTGTTCTGTAGAAAGGGATCCCTGAATGCTGACATTTTTCTACTGACCTTGACTGTCATTGGGATTATATTTATTTAATTTTATTGTGTTATTAATGCACCTTGTGGACAGAGGACATAAAAATATGGCCAGTTTCACGAGGGGCCACAATTTCTAGATAGCCTGATGGTTTGTGTGTGAATAATATTTACATTTGAAACAGTTTGGGGAAACCCTATATCCAAATCAGCTGAAAGTAGACCTGTTGAAAATGTTTTGAGAGTGAAAATAACAATTCTTACCAATTTTGGGTATCGCTTTGGAACAGAGCATGAATTGCTTTAAAACATCTAATTTCTTAAAAGGTCTGAGGCATTCCACATGGCTGTTGCTTGTGATTTTTAATATCATTTGTGAGGTTTCTGCATACAAAGAAAAGTTGCTGTTCCCCTAGTTGTTCTCTCTGTTCTGGTCCGCTCTTTTACGTCTGTACGATCAAATGGAAATGAAGGGAGTTGCGCAGCTGTGACTCAGCACAGTTTCTTCTGTCATTGTAACAATTCTCACAACCTAAAAAAACCTGAATAAAACATGAACCCTGTTTCTCTTCACGTTTCACTGATCCTTCCAAGGTCACCTCTGCAAGACATCTACAATTCTTGATGGGAAAGCTAGGGAAAAGACTGTTTTGTGGACACCGATATCAATACTGTGTGCATGTGGGGAAACTCTTCAAAAGAGAAATGCATTAAGAGGTATTGAGGCACAATGATGCATTTTTTTTTTTGTCCTGTGATCAGTATTGAAAGCATTACCATTTATTTAAAATTAAGAAGATATTTTCCCTCATCAGTTACTCTGCTATGCAAAAGTCTGTTAAGCTTAATATTCCCCCTCTGAACTCCTCAGTTAACTTGGTTTGCAGATGGACTGTTTTTCCTGGAGTGGGTTGTAAATAGCCTTTAATGTACATTGAATGAATTTCACATTGTAAAATTTTTATTTTATTCCTTGTATTATATTAAGCGAAAATCCCTGTGTATATGAAAGTGCATAATAAATATATTTGCTTTTCAGCAGACATCTAATTGTTTTAATTTTACTACCTTGTTTCTTGGGAGTCTCAGGAAGAGGTTATTAAACTTGATTAGCATTTGTGTAGTACTTAATGAAACACAATATATGTGGCAGTAGGCATTCTGGGCTAGCAAAACCCAGACCTTGAAGTTAATTCCTGCGTCCCTGCTTATCACCCATGTGACTTCTTCACATTTGTCTGTGTTAACCTGAACATTTGCAGGAAAAAATTGACTGTATGTGCTTGTGCTTAAAATGATGTTTTTGCAATATATACCATGAGGGCCAGTAAGTTAAATATTTCAGGGGCTGTTAAATATTTACCACTTGAAATATATTTTTTAATTATCTCTTTCCTCAGTTTCTCTGTAGTATTTTCAGTTTAAGTAAAACCTTGCTTCCTGTCAGTGCCTACTCATTTTTCTTGAACTTGTTACTAAAAAAAAAGTAGAAACATTAGAAGGGAGAAGTTTTCCAGTCATTACCATAATTGCATTTCTCCCTGTAATCTTGTCTCACTTCTGCTTTAGGTTACATTCTAATTGTGAGTTTTCAGCAGAAAATTGTGAGTGTGGAGTCTGACTATTTGCCTTCTGCAAATGAAGATTCAGGTTTATCTCCATGTATTCAGGTCCACACTCATTACAGATGTTGATGCTCATGGCTTGACTGATTTGTAAGATTAGGAGAATGACAGACAGAACTGTTGGTAACTATTCACTTGTTTTCTGTGTAGTATATCTGTGGTTTCCCGTAATAACTATTGACTGACTTTTGTTAAATTCTTTATGTGTGAAATAAGAGTGGCTATTTTTCACAGAAGCAGGGTATTATTTCCCCTAAATTAATCTTTAAATAAGTTATATTATATTCCATAGTCGCACATTTTCTTCATATAATCACTGTAATAATATTTAAATAAAAATTTTCAACACACATTTTTACTCTCTTATTCTATGGAATATAAAGAGGCTGAATAATGCTTCAAATCTTCTGTGAGATCTTTACAACAATTTGGCTTGTGTATTACATGTATTTTCCAAAAGAAAGCTGGGACTAGTTGGCACGGTGAACAAATGCAAAGCTCTCCAATTGTGGAGGCCCTTTGAGAGCCAGTGATGAGAATTTGGCGTTGATCTAGATCCTAACCGTTTTGTGCTAAAAAGAATCCCAGAAATGTACTGAGAAATTTCGCTGTTACTGGTTAGTTCATCTTTGACTCCTGAGTGGAGGCTGTTCTGAAATTGCCTTGTGGGGGGCTTGCTGCAAGCAGTGCCAACAGGGGACTGACAGAGCTGCAGCAGCTTTCAGTCATTTCTTTTCTATGCTCTTGAAAACCTGGGAGATGGAGAGGATGAAGCAGGAAATGGCTATACCAGACAGAGCTAATCAAATTTTTTTCCAAAGGAAAAATAATTGGCAGTTTTTTAGAATCTGAAAGGTTTCCTGAAATTATTTCTGGTTTAACTATTTCTTTTTTTTAGCTGAAACACAGTCAAAATTTCAAGCTTTGAGTCTGAAACCTTAAAAGTCCATTGGCAGATGGGTGTTGGATCTCCAGGCAGAGGGCAGTCTACAAGGAAAGCATATCCAGAGCCACTGGACGTATCAGGTAGAGAGCCATTTAAAGCAGGAGTTATTTATCTTTGCTAAAGGACTGTGTTTATTCAGAACACCATCTGTTGTTTCTGGAAAGAAAATCTATTTTCATGAGAAACTTTGTGAGGAAATCGGTTTTATAAAGAAGTATTATGCAGCTCTGTTGACTAGCCTGTTTATCAGGAGTAAAACCTTTAGTTTCTAAGTCTGTAACTGTGTTCAGAATGGTTCTTACCTCATGATACTCTGCTGCAGAGATTTTTTTGCTTTAGTTGTTATTTTAAATAGGCCAGACTCCAGAAACCTTTGGTTCAGTCTATTCACTATGCCTACATTTTTTGAATGGTGACAGTTTACAGAGTTAAGATGAGAAGTCTGACTTGCGTACCACAAGCAAGCAACAGCCTCTTTTAAATGCCGATTTTCAGATTATGGTCTACAAAACTGCTATGATTCAGGAATGAAATTTAAGGGCTCCATGAAAAGGTAACCAAAAAAAGAGCAAACCTATTATCAGAAGACTTGGATTCATAAGGGGGCCTGCCCCTCCTCACAAAATGTTTTAGGCTTTTGCAAATCAAAAATGCTTGGAAAGCACAGCTCTATGGTTTCAGTTAAATACAGTAACCTGTTTAAGTTGCTTTGTGAGTTAACAATAATGCAAAAGGTTTGAACACTGCCATCCCAGACACCTAATGCAGTTTCTTCAGTCAAAACTCAGAGCCTGAATTATCATTTGATTTAAAGATACAGTTGAATTTCTAATGAAATTCTGTTCATTATGGACTCAGTACAGAGCATAAAAACTTGCAGCTAAGGGGTGCATATCAGTAGATGCACTCTTTCTGAATGCAAAGCTAGTGTTCCCAGGAGAGAAAAAAACATCGCACAGAATAGTGGTGGTCGGATTAGCTGGTGGGGGGTGTAATGGAAGAGTCAAGACTTGAATAAGTTAATTTAGAATAGGTGTTTGTAATATTTTCATTTGATCATATGTTTAACAAAAAGTCTTCTCTTTATTGCCAGAAAGGTGGTGGTGATCTATCTTAACAGATCTATCTTGAAAAAGATGTCTGTTTTATTGGGAATTGCCAAAGGGCAGGAGGTTTCTGAAGCATCCTTTGCGGGATGCTTGGTGCCCTTATTAAAGGGGCTTGCAGGCAAAGAACCTCTCGGTTCTGGCTTACATTATAGCTTCCTTGATGAAGTTACTACCCTAAAAATATCAGGATTCCAGAGACAAAATTTTGGGGGACAATACAGAATAAACGGGCGGATTTTTACCTCCTTTGGAATATTTTATTTTCAGTCTGCATGTCCTGGAGGAAAGAGAATAAAAAATGATTTTTCAGGTAAGTAATAAAATCCTTTTTCTTTCCATCATGAGTTAAGAGTTTGAGTGCAGCTGTTGTCCTTAGTATGTCTTGGCAAATATTCATTGGCCTAATAAGGAGACTATTTAAAATTCGGAGCTTTGTTCATAGATGTTAAAGACAGAGCGGACCTTTATTATGATTTATTCTATCTTCTTTGATTATACTGGCCATTCAGTTTGCTATTGTATTTTCCACAAGTACAGAACAATCCAGTCTTGCTCAGCAGTATATCTGGACAAAATGCAATGCTATAGTGCTTGAGATTGCTTTAATAATAATAATGTAATAAGCATAATGTTGATGCTTTTACATATTGCTCTTCTATAAGGTATTACTTTTTACCGGTAAATCCCAAAACCCTTTACAGAAAAGGCAAGTGGAAAATTGCGATAAAGAAACATGTTAGCTCTCTCAGTCACTTAGGCCCAAAACAAAGACAGGAAAAGCTCCTGGGTTTCTCCTGATTCTTAGGGCCGAGCACTAGGCAGTTTTGCCTCCTTGAATAACCTAATATCTGGCATTAATTCATCTACTTTTTTTAGTTGCTCTTTCTGCATTTGCAGTGTAACTCACTGAAGACTGCCCACACAGCTGTGTGCAGCCAGCTCAAGCTGTTTGGCCAGCCATTTGAGCGATGTCAGAGATGAGGCAACCTAGATTTGGAAGCCTCTCAGATAGCAGATTTTATTAGATTGGGCAAAGTACTACATTGCTGCAGCTATGTGACTTCTAGGTTGTATCTGGCATGGGCTTGAGTAGCAAGGCATGTCAGAGAACTCACTAAGCTGCATGTATAGCCATGCTCATTTTGCTACTGCAATCAGATCTTTCAACAGCCCCTCTTAAAAAGTCAGGCTTACCTTGAAGCCTGATTGACAGTTATGGAAAGACGCCGTAGTTTTTCAGATTATGTGAGAAGCAATAGCCAGCGTGCATCCCAGCCATCATGTTTTGATACCAGTTTTTCCTGCTAAAATATTCTGGATTGAATGGAAAATAAACAACATGGATGTTTCTAGCTATAAAGCTCTGATAACATTCAATGTCTCCCTTGTGCCTTGGTTAACAGTCCAGACTAGTCATCTGTCTGTTTTTGAAAACCATCATTTAAAGCTATTTGTGGTATTTAGAGGCAAGGTCTTTTATAGGACAATGTTCAAGGAATAGAAATTTTTCGGAAGCTTGATGGGACCAAGCTGTCTGCATGACTTTCAAGTTATACTTTCCTAAAGGAAGGGTAGAAAGCAGTTTGCAATGAACCATTGAAGAATAAGTTTTGGTTTCAGGAAAGAAAACATGGAGGGAAAAAATGGTTAACGTGCTCTCAGAAGTCTTTGAAAAAAAATTCGCTAACTGACACATCTGAAAAAAACTTTTTCATTAGAACAAACCTCAAGATTATTAGTAGGTGCATAATTAAGAGCAAGAGTCTTCATCTGCCCACAGAAGGTATTCAGCATAGGCCAGGGACAAGGCAGAAGTGCCTTTACTCTGGGTTCTGTTGCAGCGTTTGGCCTCGTAACAACGTACTTAATCCAGTCTCCCTGCCTTCTGTTGAGATGTCCCAGAAGAGGACTGGATGAAATTGTTTTTAAAAGATTCTGCTAATTAATTTTTTAATGTGTGAAATTAATGAACAAAATTATTCAGGGACATTCTTATTTACAGGAAGTGGAGACTCTGTCCCTGAGCAGTTGCGCTGATTTCCATAGCAGTACTACAAGAGTACAGTTGCATTCACTTCAAGGAAAGGTAACAGAATCTGAGCCTAAATTGATATTACATTGCTTTTTGGCTCACTCTGGCAGCTCATTTGCATGAAGTCTATTTGTATAAAGGCTAAGACTTCCCATTTGTCAAAATCAGATGATGTAAGAAAGCCATTTCAGGCACAATCAAAGATCCATCCCACTCAGCAATCTGTGCAGTCAGCAAAAGCCGATGATGAGAGAAGAGTATAAGAACAGGGTAAACGGCAAATGATTTTTTTTCCCCCCAGAATGATCTGCAACAATTTGTGGTTCAAGGATTTCCTGACCCAGAGACAATGTATTTGTCTTCAATATTTTATACATTGATCAATATTAAACAAATCAAATAGAAATAAGTGGAACAAATGGGAAAAGCCCATTACAATTTTAAAGAAGTATTAAATATTTATTCTTTAAGGGTAAGACCTCTAAGCAATTCAGCCCCTTAACACAAATGTTAATCACTAAGTAGATTTATACCAAAGCTGTGTATGTTTAAGACAATCTTGTTTGCTGTGGAAGAAATGTAGGGCAGTTCATATTCATATTAATATTATACAGTACAAAAAGTTAAAATATTACCTAAGACAAAAGAACTTCCTCAGATCTGCTAAAAACCTCTTTTGCAAGAGGCAAGAAAAAACATTAGGCTATCCAAAATCCTTGTAGGGAAGCCAGTAGTTCTTTTTGCATAGAGACAAGACAGTCCCAAGAATGAAAACAGCAGAGTTATTCCTTTCATATTAACAGTTTTCTGTGTGAACAATTTCGAATATTGATTCACTACCTCTTCAACTGTTAGTCAAACCCACTAGGGGCTGGTAATAAGGAATGCACACTCTATCAAAAATGGATCTTTTCTTAATTAAAAATGCGATTATACAGGCAGAAAAAACGTATCCCGAGCACTACATAAGGAATGGAATGTTATTTTTGAATTATGCCTTGTAGTGACATGTAACTGTACGTAGCCGAAAAATAGGACTAAAACTTTTTTTAAGTTAGGCAGTCACCTATAATTCAGTCAAACCTTTTGTGGGGCTGAGAGAAGAGAAAAGCTAGCCGAAATTAAGCCTAAACTATAGGAGTGCATCTGATTTCAAGCAATGATTTGAAAATTCTCGTGTCCCTCTCAGCTGTTCTGTTGTATGCTTCCACTGCTATAGTG